GAGCGATAAAGTAAGCCATAGAAATCCATGCGATAGAGAAGGATGGCTATAATGAAGGCCTCTCATAGTCACCGCCCGTTTCGCCCTTCCACAAATAAGATCCACTTCTTATTTGTGGAAGGGCGAAATGGGCGTTGACTATTAGACGCCTTCATTATAGCCATCCTTGTCTATCACATGGATTTCTATGGCTTACTTTATCGCTCTCACGTGACTTCTGATAGACCATCGGTACTTTCCTACACTGTATAGGTAAGTTAGGCTAAATAGTCTTGTTTTCGTACAAGGAACCTGTGGTCAAGCGTTGTCTATCCTTTTCAGGGACACCCTGTATATCAAACGCGTAAATGTTATATTTTTCAAAAAATTATCTTATTATGTCGTCAAAACTAGTTATGTTGAACTAAATCAAACACAAGGCTAACTCGTCATCATGAGCAGTAATTGATTATGCATTCGATTTTCTTAACACCGTTCCATAATGGTGATACAGCTTTTGTAGATGCTTATCGTAGGATTAAAAAAGAAAGAATTGAGTGCAATGTTGATGAAATCTTAAATAACAGTTATAGGCTGACAGTCATGTAAGCATCTGAGAGGGTCTTGCAAATATTCTTGTGTTCTCAACAAGGACGTTTGGCCTTTCGCTTTTTGTATATTATCAACTGACGATCGTGAATACCGTTCTAACAATTGATTATTATTTAATATTTACAACAGAGAACTAAATTCCTAAAGTCTGATGAACAACTAATTCTAAAGGAACATGAAAAAGCATGTTGCTGAAAAATACATAATAGTTTCAGATTATAATCACACATTGGCAATAATATATACTCTGCCTTCTTGACATTGACTTAAATAAGCATAGTAATGTTAGTTTCTGCATCAGAGTTCTCATGATGCCATGTTGAAATACAAGGAATAAAATACGTTTCCTTATATTCACTACCTACTTTTTCAAGGTTCTTACTCACGTACATAGGTACATTTCTTCATATATTCTATTGAAAGAATATAATCAATTAAATCATCCCAAACTTCCTTGTATGTATTATAAAGTTGGTGATTTCATTTTAAATAAATATGTGATACTGATTAAAGTAATAATCACAAAACAGTTTTCCTCTTGTCACTTCAATTAGTACCTCGGTTTGTATTAAAGATAGAAGGGTCTTGTAAACAAATTTCATTACAATACGAATATATTAAGACATATAGGCGGTAAAAACAGAATGGCCAACCTTTATATAAAATCTCTTTTTTACAATGGAAATTTTATTAATGTGTAGCGCTATGTAATAAAAGAAAGTGTCCAGACCAGATTGAAATTACGACAATATCTCGATTACGAAATCACCTTTATCTACATTATGTATTCAATAAACTGGATTTATTGCTTTATAGTTACATATAAATGAGTTAAAAGATAATATGTAGGCTAAACTTGAAAACCGCATGTCTTGTACTCAACTTTTATATTTATAGTTGTAGTTGTTTACTTACATGTTAACTTTTTTTAACAAAAACAGTTTTTGATACTTGTCACAATGTATCGTTTTTATTTTTCATTTATCAGCTTTAATGTGACATTTTCTATTGGACATAAAAGAGAACAGAACATTAAGCAATAGTTATATAAACACAGTACAAGAATTTATAATTATAATTATTTTCAAATGTGACAAAATGTGTATGTAGAGGTTGGTATGTCATAAGTGTCACTCAATATTTTCTTCGTTATTTTTCGACTAGGAGAAGGTGCAAGAGTAAAAATTGTGAAAACTTTTTGAACCTGTCAATAAAATAATTGAACATCAAGTTAAAAAGATATAAGACTAACAATGGTTTTTAAAATGGAACACCCTGTATGTTTCTAATCGTTTGGATAATATTTTCTTGCGTTTCGTGGATCTATTTTGAATGGTGAGATTGGGCCAAAAGAATGTGAAAAATGTTATTGAACTCTGTTAAGATACAAGAAATTTGTTAAGATACAAGGTATACCTAATTAATATATTTATTAATTTATTAATATAATTTTAATTTGTAATTTCGACATTTTAAACTAACTTTCTAAATTTTATTCATGACGTGTATCAATGCTTTTTCACATTTTCTGGTATTGAACATAACATTTGTAAGTATATTTTTTGCTGTGGCTTTTAAAGTTTTGCATAATATTGTAACCGTTATAGAATTCCTGAGGAAGAGACAGTAAACTAGGTACTCGAAGGTTTGAACTGAATAAAGAGTCTTTTTTGTTATTTTTGACTGACATGCCAGACTAAATTCAAAATTCTCAACTTAGACAGTCTTCTAATAGTCTACTCTATTATATTATATATATTTAAAATAATAATCTTTAGAACTTATAAAAAAAAATAATCTGATTAGAGAATTAGCAATTTTCGTTTTTTGAAGAAGCTCATACAGATTTTGAAATATTTTCAAAGTGATCAATAGTATGTTGTTCTGGAATTGCAAAAGATGTTGTTTAGTTCGGTTTTTTAGTTTGTTTTTGTTTTGAAATTTGGTTAAAAAACAAAATATTTTTTTGATATTTTGTTTCTTTTGCCTGTTTACTTGTGAAAAATTAAGAATTTGTTGGGAAATTGAAATGAATGCGTTGTACTTCAAGAGCAGCTTCCTTGAATGAGAATAAATTTTATGTTAGGTATTAGATTTAGATCAAATTACAAACGCTTTACATATTAAATAATAGAAGATAGTTAACTTTGGGATAGCCAATTGTGTTTTTCTCAAAAACTGTGTGTTTTCTGCTATTTCAACGAGGATACTATTTTATGCAAAATTATTCTGTAGAGTCTACATCAAAATAAATATCAAAACATGTCATTGAAAAAGATCGT